ATGATTAAAACACTCAAATCTTCTCATCTTTTTCTTCAGCCTTCCAAGCAAACCACCTCCAGAAACATAGTGCATCACTTCCTGTGCAGCGGAATGTTTTCCCAAGTAACATCCACGAACACCCACATAGCTGATCGGACCAAGAAGTAGAGGTCAGCAGCATCTTACACCACCTATAGTCGCATCGGGCACATATCTGATGTAAGGTTGACTGCAGCAAACATAAACCCACACTGTTCCAGCCCCAGATGGTCTCAGTCACCTGCTGGCCGCCAGTCTCAATCTGATGAGTCATTTAGATGAATTTCCTCAGGGGCTGTGTTGGTTTGGGATAAAGCTGCAATGGGTGGCAGCCAGAGGAGTCGTTATGGACGGAGAGGAGCATGAAGCATAATGAGCCTCATGGGAGCTCAGTTTATGTACACAGACCTGCTCCTGCTTTCTGCCTCCCAGGAACACTCTCTACTACTGCCAGTGTGCCAGGAGAACTGGGGAGTGGAGGGACATGTGCACAATCCCAATTACTGCTTATTCCAAGAGGTGGAAGAGAAGGGAATGACTGAGCATTTTAATGCTTGGTCATTCTTTCCATTACTGATAGAAAATAACCACACAGTTCTGCAGTATAATAAAAATAACAAATAATTTGTCCCAAATTGCACTTCATATCCAGCTATCAGACAACAACAGCTCAAATACCCTGCTCTGCTCTAATAGTTTGTAACTCAATATACAGCTGTGTCCAGGTGCCGAAGGCAAAACAACTTTTAGAAAAACAAGTGTTGTGACCCCAACAATTATAAAGAGGCTGTTACACAGTAGTGACAGTAACAGCCATTGAATGCTCCTGTTTATGCACTGATGCTGCAAGCAATATATTTCTGTTATACAGATTCAATTATGTGTAATGCAACCTTCAACTGCATATCCACAGAGATAACCTTGTGTAACACCAGTGCATTTCCAAAGCTGCTACACTTATGCATGACTGCAGAAAATACTTCAATTAACACTGACAAGTCAGATTTTGGTTTTGAAGAGATTCTCGCAGACTTTTCTTAGAAGTTCAACAATCATCCAGAGACATACGCACTGTAGAAGAGGATTTGTCCGCAGCAAACCATGGGCCAGTTTCACACATATATTTTAGACTGGTCTGTAGTGTTAGGCCAGCCCTACTTTTGCTCTTAGACAAGTTACTGCAAGTTTCCCAAAAATGTGGAATGACTTATTTTAAGTCTAAAAAGTTAGCCACTCTACCCCCCTGCTAACTACAAGCTATGTTGTCATAGTAAGGCCGGAGATACACTTACTTTTAAACCACAAGTTTACATAGATGACCAGCTGTGTTGTGAATCTTATTGTTCACATACTTGCCTATGTGCTACGCTTTTTACTGGGGGATTCCACTAGAGCGCTAACAGAGAACTCAGACCATAAAGAACTTCTGAATTTGTACGATGCAACGTTAACATGGCGACACTTGAGGAGGTTACTCTATTGCTAATCCTGAGATCACGGCAGAAAAAGTGACAGCGGTGCCATTGCCGATGGTATGTAAGGCCCCTAAATCAAGCAGATTGTGACAATGGGGATAATAATTTTTGCTGCCTGCTACACTGCCCCCACTGTTTATTGCATCTTGCATATATGTAGCATTGATTTCTGAGGACATGCACAACAAATTCTCCAAACGGATGCAGGATACATGAGGCAGCCATCATGCAAATGTTAGTGTGTAGTTAAAAGCAAGTATATTTCTGGCCTTCAATCAGTGATGCTTACTGACACGGAAAGCGCAGTAACCTGTATGAAACATACAGCAGTAGGGACATAAAATAAACCCTTCTGAACCAAATTAGTCCTACATAACATAGATTAGACGAGGTAGCGTTGTGCAACAGTTGAATTTACACATCTATCAGTCTGACAATTACAGTAGTTAGCTCGTAGTTAGGTCTTTGTGAAAGTAGCCCCATAATGCAGTGTTGGGCCACAAGACAGTCAGGTTGGGCTGTGATTGAAGTTTGAGTCATGCTTTTCTCTTACATTAATAATATCTGACTCTTAAAAATCTCTGCTAATCCACAACTGAGTGCAACATGCTCATATTCCTTCTCTGGGGCTTGATATATAACATCTGAGGAAATTTACATTTAAATGAAGGATTTAATAATGAGCACAACAGAAATATTAACTACAACTTTGATCAGAAAATCTCTCCTGAATGTCACCAACTGAAGCCTATTCAAAAGGGCCTTTTCCCTTTAATCACCTACTTACTGCACACTAGCATTTTCTCCTAGATAAGGGAGCCAAAATACGGCAGCAATGGAGCAGACATGCAAGAAATAAATATGACTATGATTCTACCTGCTAGTGCCAGAAGCAGTAGAAACATGTGTTGAAAGTTTTCACCTCCTATTCTGGTTAGTTCATCCTAGGGACAGCTACATATGACAGACGGCAGGAGAAACTGCACAATGTTTATTTGACTCACTTCCAATCTAAGAATAAATGCATTGTTAGTATTTCTCATTCCTAGAATGGCAGCATGCGCATTTGAGGAGAAGAAAAGTTCTTCAAAGTCAGCAAACAGATTGTTTGAACTTGGGCCTTATCCTCTACTCATTTCACTTAAAGCCTGGGGGTTGTGTGGAAAAGAAGCTGAATGCTTTGGGATAAAGAAGGAACCAATCATGGAAGGCACATCCTGTCCTACGGAGGGAGCTAAAGCCGGGCTGAGGTGTGAAGCCCGGTGAGCGATCTCTTCGGAAATGAATTTCCCCCCTGAGCTTTGTCGTATGTCAGCGGGTGGTGACAGCTCAGCGTCTTACAATCACACATGTCAGAGGGAGGCAGGGGGAAGCATTAAAGGCATGTGTACTTTTGCGCATGTGTACATTCATATAGATTTGTATGGGAAAATGGAGGAAGGAAGGAAGAAAAAACAGGGTTCCAGAGTTCAAATTCTGATCCAATCTGGAGTCTCTTGCCTGCAGGCATCTTAAGGGGAAGCAGGCATCAATATTTCCTCATGGCCCCTGAAGCCCAGAGCGCTAACACAGACTAAAGCTGAGAAAAGCTGCAATTTTTTTTTTGGATTCATGTCAATGCAAGGTGAGACACTTTGGGCATAATATTCAAATACAGAGATAAAACACGTGTAGGGTGAAGCTAAGACCTGGCAAATGGAGGAGACAGTTCACAAGGTTCAGACTTATTCTTATCCATCCCCTTGCCTGAGTGTCAGGGGCTGACGGGCAGATCTGACAGGGGGCAGGTTAATCAGCTTATTCTGAATCTCTGGTCAGATCTGGCGTGTTTTGACGCTCTGCTGATCACAGATATGATCGGACTTGCCCCTGGCTGTCTGGCTTGACTGACTGTTGTGACGAGCATGCTTCTGAGACCGGGCACGTACTTCAGAAATAGAAGGATCATCTGGGATGTGAAATAACTGGATTATATAGACCAGTAACACAAACAAAGACATAGATTCAGCAGGAAGAAAAACATCACCACCTTTTCTGCAAGGCATATTTCACCCTGGTTAAGTTTGCCTTCTTTAACCATACTCATTTAGCTACTAGAATAGAATCCTTAATCTGAAGTAGACTGTCTATAACAGCACTTAACTAATTAAAAGCATTATAACAAAAGCCAACTAATTCTTGAGAGCCATATCTGATTGCTTTTCAAGCCTCCCACTCCTCTAAACACTGCCACTCATTTAAATCTTGGCAGAAGTTGCGATGCTGGGAAATGTCGCTGCATCATTCGATTCCCAGCAGCCTCTCTGAAGGCTTGTCAACACAATCTTAGCTTGACAGCTTCAAATCAGTAGCACCTCTCTCCTTTTCACCTCATTTAATCTTGGACGTCCCTGCAGTGGGGCAGTGCCCTGGCTATCACCTTTGAAAGACATGAACTTATTTCCTATTTTCACATGTGGCTTTATGTTTGTTTATATTTGTTTATGAGCAAATTAGACATGTTTGGCGTACTATATAATTGCTCCATAGCTCTTAAAGACTGGCCCACACTAAAAAAAAATCAAATCTTAATAGATGTTTCAAATGTGACTGTTTTGTCACCAAAACAGCACATCACACACTAACAGATTCCGTTCACTAACAATCAGAGTTCCGACTCCCAAAACCGGAAATCTTACAAATCTCTCTAAACAATCATGTGACTTCAGAGTACACGAACATGGCATAAAACAGGCAGGGACAACCAGCTATTAGTTCTTGCACTACTCTTTACAGAAAATTCATGAAATTCATTCAAGAACATGGAACAAAAATCTGGATGAGGTCATGGAGACAGCATGAACATGTAATATACATGTTGCAGCACGAGCTGAAGGTGAGTAAAAATTGTCACATATATAAGTTTCATTTACATATGGTGATTCTATGTCAGACAGGCTGTTTGTTAATCCTTAAAAAGCCATAATGATAACTCTTGACATAAACTTGGGATGAAAGTAGAGATGGTTTAAATCCAAACTGGTTGTAGCAGGAAAAGCCCTGTATAAATCAACACAGTCTTACTCCCAACTCAGGAGTCACCCCACACATCAAGTTGTTATAGCTTCAAACTGTCTACCAATCTCACCACAGCATACCATTTCCTCACGCACATGCCTCACTAGCTGCACAGCACAGTCTGGTGGATTTGCCCTTGCAAACATCCACCTGGCTTCAGCTGAAAGTGAATGGCAACAAGCGATGCCACTGAAGCTTTCACTGTCAAACACATTGCAAGGTGCTCTGGAGAGGAACATCAACTAAACGCCAGAAATCTTATCTGGAATGTGAAATGCGGACACTGTATGCAAATTTGGATATTTAACAGTTTGCTTTCATGTATGCAGCGTGCTCTCACATGAATCTTGAAAGTGTGAATTCTCAATTAGACCTGGGTGCGGCCCACAGCAATGTCAAACACACATCAGCAAAGCGAGCGGTGTGACTGACAGACTCCATCCTTACCTGTCTATGTCGCCCTGCATCTCTTTGCTTCCTCTCTGGGATACTTCTCGAGAAGAAGCCGCGTCTGAGGCTCGGCCTGTGTTCCGCGCATACAGATGGAGGCCACCATCTGTAAGGTATCTGTGAGAGGAGAATTCATTAGAGGGCGTAGATGTCTGATCACAGCTTGGCATTGAAAGAGTTAGTCAGTGTTTTGTTGTTTTAAATTTAAAGAAGCTGATTAAATTAAAGCAGTAGAGATAATACAGGGACCTGATGGATATACTGATTAATGAACACTGTTTAGGCTGTATGTACATTTTTTTGAACTCACAAAAAAGAGCATGTTTCAATGTGTGTATGTGGCAGTGAGCAAGTGGTAAGATTGAGGCTAGTGCCAGAAAGCTATCAGACACGGCTGATAGGACATGGGGATCATTAGCGTTGAGCTAATTAAGCTAATAATTCAGCTAATCACCTTTCCCTCCCGACATGTTGCTACATTTTCTGTTCTGACACGTCTTTAATCCTACACATGCTTCACTCCTTCACTCCGGCAATCTTAAGTGCATGGGAACGTGTGTTCATGCAAGTTTGTGTGTGGAATTAGCTCAAGGCATTTGTTGCTATTGAGTGAATGAAGGTCAGAGGCCCACACACAAGTTGTTGTGATGTTTTATGGAAGACACTGACTTATCTTTTTTCATTCAGGTTCCGGTAATCTGTCAGTGTATCGAGCGCCCTCAAGGTTCACGCTTCCTTTTAAAGACATGACAAACCTATGATAGCCTTGGTGGGTGTCAGCTGGTCATTTGTTTTAATGTACACAGGAAGATGGGTGAGGCCTTGGTGACTGTATGAATACACAGCTAAGTGTGAATTTCAGGACGTTTTTCAGCTAAACCCAGTAGTTACTGCGACATCCCTTTGTGTCACTTGTATTCATGATCCTTCAAAATATAAATGGCCTTTTAAAGTAGTATGAATGATGTACAGGACCATCCTATATGTAAATCTTCTGGTAGTAAAGCTTACAAATCTCACAGACTGTCATGAACATGAGCATGCTTTAAAATTAAAATTAAGTAATGTGTTCAATGCATAAAGGAGGCAAGGAAACACCTTATAACTACCAAGGACTGCATGTAGGAAGGGGTAACTGGAACTTGTAAGTTTCACACGCAGTACAAAATAATAGTAAGTCCAGGTGGTAGATTTTTATCAATAGCAAATACTAACATCAACCAAACCAAATCCTTTGCCCCAAAAAAGTTTCAGCTGACTAAATAAATGCTAGCGCCAGTCTTAACCAAGTTTTCAGTTGGTCGCCAACACCGACTAGCTAAAAAGTGCACATGGCACATGAGACTTGTAGGGATTATTAGTCTAATGGTCTGAATACAGTCTAAATATTTTGAATTTTACATTCATGTCTGTTAAAGATTCAAATATACACATAAATATTCAGTCACTGATTTAAATAGAAAGGCCCCATCACCAAAATTCAACCTGCTATTAGTCTCACTTTGATTAACAATTCTATCAATTTTAGACAATAAGATAAAAAGCTGATTATGAAGATGTTAAATATTTGTTTACATGACTTAAATGGTACCTTGTAGAGTTTTTGGCCCCTAACAACACATGGAGTAATGTGGGTGCTCTATTTGTTTATACCATGCACACATATGCATGCGTGTGAGCACTCAGGTGACACAATTCATATCCTTCAGTTGGTTCATGCCATTCCTCTGGTTGACAGTTGGTGGTAGCAATGCGCAAACAGTGAGGAAGATTTGTAAAAGCGTGTAAGGGTAAAGGATACAGAACATGTTAACATAACATGTGTTGAGTTACATATGTGAATAAGCCTGTAATTCATTGATTGGGCCATTAAAGCAGGAGCTCAGAATTAGTCAGTGCATCAGAGGAAGCCAACATGCTTAGCACTAGTCATCCTACCCGCTGGTGATATCATCCATCCGGCCGTTCCTCCCTAGGATGTCCCCATCACTCATGTACCCTGCCATCTCCATCTGCTTCCCTCCTTCCAGCCCTCCTCCTCCCTTCTCCCCCTGCTCCGCCCCCCTCGCCCCTGCTGCCACGGCTGCTCGCCTCAGGGGGGCACTGAACACAAACCTGGAGGGGTCCGAGTGGCCGCTGTAGCGCCCCGTGGTGGTGCCAGCGCTCGTCGTGCTCGCCCTAGGCGCAGCGTAGCTGCTGGGCATTGAGGGGGCTTCACCTGCCTGGAGACGCGGGGTTTGTGTTTGGCCCAGACGCCAGGCCATGGGGGAGGAGCGTGAAGTGAGGGCTGGTAGACTTCGCCCATTGACCTCAGTGGTTACCGTGGTGTCGAAGGTTGTTTCTAGTGTGCTGTGGAAACAGAGGTGTACAAAGAGCAAAATGTGGGTTAATTTTGATGCAGCAAAAACTGAAAATGATCAGCATGGTATTTTCTAACAGTTTCCAGCCATTCTTAACGGCTCAGCATGGAGAGTTTTGGAAGAAGTGCCTTAAATACACAAACTCAAAACTCTATGTCATTATATCAAGTGCACTCCTGTGTGAAGGGCAAAGCACTGAGGTGAAAGGACCAATCATATTTTAAACAGAGAGCTGTCTACATCAGTCGAGTGCCACTCCCTTCAAATCTGCTGTTTCCTCTAACATTGCTTTGTGTATGTGTGTGTATGCGTGTGTGACCTTCCTAAAGTGCTGTTTCTTCCAGTGTGTTAACTTGAAGGGGGAGGAGAGGAGAAAGTGAAGGCTCCCAGGAGAACATATGTCAGACCGTCACGGTACATCACATAGAGATGGAGAGAGTGAGAGAGAGAGAGACAGCTACTTTTCCATCCAACTATCAAGTGTGTTTTTGCAAACACTTGAAATACCACAGAAAACAAAATCTGAATCAGGTGCATTTTCATCAGCAGGGTTGAAGGAAGTAAATAAACTCTCTGAAATGTCAGAAATATAGATTTAATGGCAGTGTGCAGATCTTTACTGACTTTCCAATCAGGTTTTCTAAATTGTTCTATCACCATTAGCTAATGAATAGCAGGATGAACATGCATCTAGAAGGAGAGATCTTGTGTAGGAGAGAGTGAAAAGTGTGAGTGTGAGAATAAGTGAAATCTTAGCAAATAAAAGCAGCCAAGATAAGGAATCAAACCTGGTGGAGGGAGACAAAGAGGACTGACTCACTATCCTGACAATCCTCCATTAGCCCTGCAACAGTCACTTTATTCTCTAATGTCGTAGAAGGATCTGAACATGTCATCTGCTGTACAAAACACGATTCTCATCTATCAAAGAATGCCTTGCCAGACAACAACAAAATAAATCCGAATTGATTTTTTCAAATTTGCAACAGCGCTACAGAAGTGCAGCGAGTGAGTCAGCAGGATTGCAAATGCAAAACTAATACACTCATGGCCACTCACACACCAAGCCCTGCAGCTTGATGTATCACACTGACACAGAGAGCAAAGCATGGCAGCAGTGGTACCTCGCTTGAGCTCTCTCTGCTGGGAAAACGGGTGCACTACAGTCACATGATGACAGCTACATTCAACACCACAGAGTTGCTCTGATTTGTGTCCTTGAGGATAAGTTGCTTATGTGAACTCCAGGCACAAACATTTTTCTGTAAACAAAATGATGGCGTGCAGAATTATATAAAATACATTTTGCTATGGAAACACGATGAACACATAGGAAAAGTGTAAATAGGATTAAGGCTTTACATGTAATTGTTGCATGGATGCTAACACTATGATAAACTGACTGTCATATTTGATTTAGGCAATATGAGGATATGATGTTTGAACGTTAAAGGGACAGTTCATCCCAAAATCAAAATTACATATTTTTCCTCTCACCCATAGTACTTTTTATGAGTCTAGATTGTTTTGGTGTAACTTACCAAGTGTTGAAGATATCAGCTGTGGAGATATCTGCCTTCTCTCAAATATAATGGAACTAGATGGCACTCGGCTTGTGGTGCTCGAAAACAACAACAACAAAAAAACACATTTGATAAACTCAACAGCAATGTCTCCTTCCAAAAATCATGACCTGGTTACTGAAGATGATCCATAGTCTTTGTTGTGAGCAGTTTCATAAAGGAACTATTTTCTTTCTACTAAAATACATCCATCAACTTTATTACTGTGCAGAAACGTGCATGTGCTGCTAGCTCACCTAGCACTAAAACTAATGTTACAGTTCAACCAAGGAGGATGCCATTACTATTTACATCTCATGTTGTCACAAGCACCCAGGCAGCAATTTTTTTCCCAGTGGCCACATGCAGTACTGCAGCAAAAAAAAAAGAAAAAAAAAAAAAAAGAAATCCTCTGTGTCCTGGAAAGAATCTTCCCCACACACCGCCTTTGTAAAAGAGACATCTGTAAAACAAGGTCAATTATGAATCTGTCCATTCTGAATTTTTTAGCCATGGTGGTTTTACGTTTGTAAAACTTTCCTCAGTCTTTAGAAAATGATTTAAAAATCCGTGACAACATAACAACTGCGCATATTCAGTGGGCCACATACCCAGGAGAAAACCCTGAAGCTAGAAAACTTTTTTGGTGTATGCGCTAGGCAAGCAACTCCATTGGAAGGAATAAGTGCCATCTTGGCATCCAGTATCTAGTTATTACTAAAATCTATGGCAGATATAAGCTTCCTTCTGTGTAGTGATATGGTTGGCGGGTGTAGTTTTGAGTTTTTCAAATGCATTTTTTTGGCGCTTTGAGCACCACAAGCTGAGAGCCATGTAGTTTTGTTACATTGGAGAGAAGGCAGCCATCTCTATGGCCGATATCTCCAACACCTGGTGACTCACACCAAAACAATCTACACTAATAAACAGCACTTACAGGTAAGAAGAAAATAGACATTATTTGATTTCTGTCCCATTATTACATTAAATTGTAGCATCATCAGCAAGTTCATTCTAATGTAAATACACTCATCATCTTCCTGTTCTAACTTAAAAATGATGTACAGCTGCAGCCAATGCTAAAAAGACAATTTATAACATGTTTGCTACCCGGCTGCTGCGATATTGCCTTTGAAAACAATAATTTTAAGGGACAAATGTAGCTGATAATACAGTTGCGATGGAGGACAGTAACTGGATATGTGGGATGAGACACCTTTTTGGATGCCTGCCTCTGTACGCTGGCCTTCATTAGGTGACAAAAGCAACATCTTAAAGCAGTGTCTGGCACATAGCAGTGAGAGAGGTGTGAGAACAGCCTTGTGTGTGTGTGTGTTCGGTGAGAAAGGGCAGAAAGTGCACCCCTGTAATGCCAAGTGTCAACGTGAGAGGGGTAGCGATGCCAGCCATATTCACAACGCATCTTTATCAACACCTTCTAAGACACACACACACACACACACAAAAAAACCCAGTGACACACGCAGTGCTGTGTCAGAGTGCCGAGAAACCAAATTAAACAAACATAAAAAAACAATTGCTTATCTGACAAGTGATCACAGCTGAATATGGAAACACAGAATTAATTTGCCACGGTATGGAAATCAAAATCATTTAACCATTCGTACACAATGTAGCCTGCTAAATCAGCTTATCTTTATCTACAGGAAGCAGAACAGGAAGAAAAAAAGACAGATAAACTGAGGGAGACTGTGTGTGTGTGTTTGTGTGTGTGTGGAGGTGTTGAGATAAATGAGCATGCAAAATGAAGGATAAGGCTGAGCAGGAAGTACAGGAAAGGTGCTGTATATTTTACAAATCTAACCTACCACATATGAACACACATGCTCAACTGAAAACATGAATGATAGTCTATGTATACCATCAACATATCGTTGTAAAATTAACTGCGATCCAGTAAAGGCAGAATATATATCATTGGTGGTTGGTAGACTACATTTCCCATAAACCCTGCTGCTTTTCAAGGATCTTTGCTTTATTCCACTATCTGGTATAGAGCAGAACAAAAAACCCAAATAAATCCTAACAGAGGGAGACGGTTTTGTTTAGCCAAGAGATCAGCAGGAGAAGCATCCATGTTGACAGCAGGGGATTGGTTATTGCTGAGCAATGCTAAATATAAATACACTGGAACTTTCCCTCGCTGCTGCTAATGAGGTCTGAGAGTTTCAACATGGAGTTCTCATGGAGGTTCATTCACTGATCATGGTACAAATGGAATTCTTCAGCACCACTTCAAAGCCTCTCAAATGTCATGTACAATATTAGCCACAAGGTCTTCATAATAGCAGTTTTTTTTTTTATCCTGTATAAAATCCAAAATCCATGATTCTAATACGCACATGTACAATAGCAGCAGCTCAGATTCTCTGTTAAAATACACTATTTGGTAGGGCTTCATAGCAGATTATGATGGAAATCCAATCTGTCCTATGACGGAGAATCCTCTGAGAGCTTAGAAAAGATTTCAACCCACTAGTCTCCTTTTCAGTTGATAATTATTAAGTAATTGACAGAAGGTTTCTTCTCAAGCAGTCATTTTTGGTCTTACTAATAACAATCTGAACTTCATGTAGATCACCCACAACATTTGAACAGTATTAGATTCCAGATTTATTGAGATTAATATATTTTGGAAAAAGTTTTGGTAGTTTTGGCATCTTGTGCAGGCTGTTTTGTTAGTTAGAGACTCTTCTGACAAATTACCATCATCTTGAGTGCACGCCGCACCATAAACTGAGTTATGCTGCCTTCACATGGGGTCATGTTTACCATGAGGAGTGCATATGAACGTCCCCCTTATGTAATATTCTCAACTTCCGAAGTGGAAATTTTCTAAAAGTTAAGTTGTGAGTGGGTTTGCCTATGTTTTCAGAAATAGCAGTTAAGTTAATATATTGAAATTTTAGTTTTATACAGACTTTTTGGCAATTTTCTGTAATGTCTGGGGAAAACGTTGATTTTCGGCATCATCACTTCTAGCCACTGACTGTAATAACAGTAGCATCCATGGTGCCATTGTCTAGCCATTGTCTCGCGAACTTAACCACTCGGATGCCAAGCCTATCGTGTACATGACTTCTCATGTCATAACCACGAGTTCCATTTGAAGGCAGCATTAAATCACAACAAAGACTTACACTGTATTCAAAGTCACTCCCCTGTTCACTCATTTGAAACTCCCTAAAATTTCTTTCTCACCCCTCTGTGTCTCATAGCTGTGAAGCACAGCTTAAACGCAAGTAAACACAAGGTCATGTTGTGAAACGGTGGAAGGTTTAGAAAAATAGATCATGTTTTGGCTTAAAATAAGCACTTTTGTCAGTAACGTGACATAAATTTGGCGTGACAACCATACTGTAACGTTATGTTTAAACATTGTTGACTTTTGGTGTTACACGGGACA